AAGTCACCTACACTGAACTCCTGGCTGCAGAGGAGCTCATGTGATCGACCTGTTAGTGATAGGTCCGGGCCATCGCCACCTGCCGGGGTAAGAGGGCGGATAAACGGTACCAGACAGAAGAAACAAGTCCAGAGTAAACAGCACCTGATGTGCTCCATCAGCTGACACTGGTCTTCCTCTGCGTTTAATCGCATGTGCTGCTTTGCTGCCAACTAATGGAGTCTGGTGGAATATCGCTCTTTGGTTCCACTTAATTTATCTGTTTATCTGTTAGTTAGTTATAGTTATCCCGGGATTCGTGCAAGCATATAACAACTATGTAATATCTCACTGTAAGAGACAGACAAAATAGTATCACACATGAACTCCACAGTTTGGTATTTTACGTAGATTATTTTATTTTAGTCCTTTTTAGTTTTAACATTTTGTGTTTAATGTAGTTTAGTTTGCAGAGTAGGTTTGCTCGTTCTTATTGTTAATTATTAGTTTCATGTAAGTTCTAATTAACATTAATATTATTAATATCAGTAGTAGTAATAGTACTAGTGGTAGTATCAGATAGATGTGTCGAATCATATCTAATGAAAGTTTTAAGGAAAGTTACACAATTTCAACACACTGACCGAAGAGATAATCACATAAAATCATGACTTATCGACGACGACAAAGACAAAGAAAATTCAGTGGCGGAAACAAACTTCCAATTATGCGTTTCGCGTTTTCCGCCGCTAACTAAATTTGACCTTCACTTCATCCCGTAGCGTGTGAGTAACTAGGAAGTGTATGTATCGGTAACTAAGGAAAGCTGTAGTGAGTAAATTTAAGCTCTCCTTGTTTGAAAGCAAAACGTCGATTTTCTTTTTATTAAAAGCCAAAGGGAGGCAATCCAAGGTACCATCGAGAGGTAAAGTGGCTGCTATCGGTGTAGCTAAACGCTCCTTATATCCGAGTGCAGACGGGTAGTTGGAGCTGGTAGTCTTTTGTTCTTATTGTTTTCTTTATGGCCATGAAATTATATTTTTTTTATGGGCAGATCACCTATAACAGTGGAGATATTGAGCTGTCTTCGGCGTCAGTATTTGTTAAGTAACTAATTACTAACTAAAAAGCAGCATTAGTGAATATATGATGGGGCCAAGAGACCTTTGACTTGTGATGTCTGCATTCGTGCATACTGACTGGCTACATGCCCTTATGAAACTATGTCTGCACTGTTATTTTTAGCAAATTTATTATCAAGCTTTCATTTGTGCTAACTGTTCAGGTTCATGGCTCTGCCGACACTTTCGACCCGTGTGCCCAGTCGATCTCGGGTCCTGGCCGACCAGCTGGCCCGGCAGCGGGAGCAGGAGGCCCGGTGGCGGCAGCAGTGGGAGCTGCATGCTCAGTACTTCAGAGAGCAGAGCATCCGCAGCCAGAAACAGACGGTGTGGAGCTCCCGTCAATCCTACCAGCAGAGGTAACTTCCTCCAGCATAGATGCTCTCACTCACACGGTCTCCGAAACGTTACACAAATATTGAAGCAATCCAACTAAATAACTACACATTGCTTTATATTTGGTGATTTTATTCTTGTTGCCTCCTTTCATTTTCTTGTCATTAATTTTACATGATTGCCATAACGTACTCCAGCATTATCATCCTGTTTCTCCTTTATTGCCCTCCGAGATGGCTCTGTAAGTAATCACGCCATGTCATATATAAGTTCTGTGTTATGAAAAAAGTGATAGTACTTGACACTACTCCCTACCTTCGAGCAGCCTATGGCAAAACTAGGCTAACCTTTATGTTGAAGTCTCGATTTTACAACAGCCAGATTGGTCTCATCTCAGGCTGGGAGCAGACTGACGGCCAGACCCCGGCACTTTAAAAGTGATCAGAAAAATCTTAAAATCTAAAACCGACAGGAATCCAATGTGGTGAAGCCAGGATCATCCTGGAAATAAATACTGGAATTACAATAAATAAATGTTTTCATGAATTTCTTTGGACTATTAGAATATGCTGGTATGCTAAGAGAAGTAGTGTTCAGTTGTTTGTTGTATTGTGAGTATACCATAGTGTATCTTCCTTTAAATCTGTGTAACAATATATATATATATGTATATGTATGTCATATTTGTTTGTCTGTATAAATTAGTTAAAAAAATAGATAAATAGCCTTATGTTATTATATTTATTGTGTTGCCCTTTGTCATCAGTTGACAAAAATGCTAGTTTTTATGTTTCTTACCCAAGCATTTTTCTTCTTTTTGTTTTCAGTATGTCAGCATACCATAAAGACAGACTGAAGGAAGAAAAGAAAGCCAGCTTGGAGCAGCGCAGGAATCGACTCAGGGCAATGCTGCAAGAGGAGCAAAACCAACTTGAGGCAGAGCTCCGAGAGATGGTGCCCGACAGGAGCACATTGGCAAGTCAGTTGGTGCAAAAAAGTGAAGAGCTTCGCACGGCAAGAGAAGACAGAAGAAAGAAAGTTGGTGGAATATTGCCCCATAAATATTAACAACAGTGTTGTGCCATGTAAGTTTGCAATCCCCGTTCATTTTTTTTGTCATACCTAGCTTGCACAGGAGCTGCTGAGGGAGCACTGGAAGAGAAACAACCAAGAGCTGAGAAAGGTAGGCAATTTTAAACTATTGATGCAAATGTGACAAGTTGCCGAGCCCCATACCTCAGACCTCGAGGTGTTACCACTGATGAAGTGTTTGACGGCTTCAGGAATCATACGTCTAGAGAGTTCACCAAGTAGAGGAAACAGACACTTTTTGTCAAGACATCCATTTGATCTGGAAACCTATATGGCCTGTGATGCAGATATTCCATGACTTTCTGTTAACCTGATTCCAGTGTTGACTTAAGAAAAAGAAATGTTCTGGTATCCCTTCCACCCAGGGTCAAGGTCATCAGTATCTCTGTCTCAGCTTTGTCACAACTCACTCTTTCAATCTGTCTGCAGCTGGAGTCAGGATTACATAAAGATCACGTTGTCAGCCAATGGCAGGAGCAGATATCTGAGAAGAAACAGGTAGGTGGATCATTCCAGGCACCAAAGTCAGTTCTGTTCATTTCAGTGTTTTAATAACTTTGATAACCAGTATTGAAGAAGTTGCTTCAGTACTTCATAGTATAGCCCTTCTCAGGCCGGTGTTGACACATATGACCCACAAGTCATTATGTTTTTATGTGGCCAAGTTTTTATGTAACACATCTATTTATAATTGAACAGCGCTCGTGTACTCTGTGAGCACAGTATCACGGCCGGAACCTACTCTGGTCAGCCCCTCAAAGGTGGTGCATAATTAAGAAAGCTTTGACACTTACTGTAAGTGACCCAGCTTGTCAAACATGCAGAAAGAAGTGGCGTACCAGGAGGAGACGAGACGCTTTGAAAACGAGTACGAGAGGACCAGAAGAGAAGCTCTGGAGAGGATCAAACAAGCGGAGGAGAAAAGGAAAGACGAGGAGCGTAGGAGAGGGGAGGAGCTGCGCAAGCAGATGGAAGAACTGAAGCTGAGAGAAGAAGAGGTATTCAGAGCATCAGCAAACAATTTCTTCTGTGCAAAACCACCTTTGCAGACGTTGTTTTGTAAACAAGATTATTTTTTATTTTTCTCTTTCAGGCCACTCGTCTGAAAAAGGAGCAAGAGGCTCTACTGTTGCAGCAGTGGGAGCTGGAGAAGATAGAGGAGGACAGGAGGAAGGCAGAGGAACAGAGGAAGAAGTTTGAGATCGGGTATGTGAAGCTTGTTCTCCAGATGACCAAACACAAAGAGTGGTATGATACTTCAATCTACTGAGGTACTTTACATATGGGATTCATGTTGCACTAGGCGTTTCTTGATCCGTCAGTATCGAGCTCAGCTGAGAAGAAGAGCCCAGCAAGTGCAAGAAGAACTGGTAAATCATTTTTTTACCTGCAGATTTTACTGTGTAATATTCCAGATAACCTCCCCAGACCTTTTCTTTGAAATCCTTTTTACGACACCAGGAGGCCGACCGTAAAATCCTGGCAGCCTTGCTTGAAGGAGAGGAGGAGGACAGGAGGCTGGAGACTGCAAGAAAGGAAAGAGCTGTCGCTGATGCAGCCTGGATGAAACGTGTGATTGAAGAGCAGCTGCAACTGGAGCGTGAGAGGGAAGCTGAGTTTGAAGTCTTACACAGGTGAGCGCCAAGATATAGTAAGCCTCGACTCTCCAGAAAGGCGCACGTGCGGCTCTGTGAATACAAATCAATGCATCCCATTTGTTCGTAGGGAAGAAGCTCAGCATGTTTGGGAGAAACGAGAAGTTCAGTGGGAGAAAGAGAGGAAAGCCAGAGAACGGCTCATGCATGAGGTAAATTTCTCTTGGAGTAAAACTGGAAGTAAAACTTAAAGATGTGAGTTCAAATAAAAGTTGTCCTGTTTTGGGTTTTTCCTGTCTTTTTGATAAGGTGCTTGTGGAGAGACAGCAGCAGATAGAGCTAAAAATGCAGAAGAACCGTGAGGCTCAGGAGGAATCTCTAAAGAGACGAGAAGAGCTTATCAAGAAGCTTGAGTGGGAGAGGAAATTCAGACGTCGGGAAAAGGAGCAAGAAGAGGGCCGAAGGACAGCACGGATGCAAGAGATAAATGCTCAGGTTGGATACATTTTATTTTGTTTTTTATGGAGGGGGGTTCCGAGGTTTATTTCCCCAACTACCCATTAACCTCCTAGGACCTGGCATCCACATATGTGGACAAAACATTTTGGGTTATTAAGACCAAATTACTCAATTTTGCTCTACAAGGGCCTTGATATCTACTTACGAGGACATTATACTGCTACTGTTCGATCGAAATTTTATACGAATATCCTCAGTTGTGGCTCTCATTTTTCTTAGAAACAAAAATCAGGTAAAAAAAAAAATCTGGTAATTCTTTGTTTTTACATTCATCAGGTCCCAATCAGCCCAAATATCAAAGAGAAATTAAAATTGCATGCCATGAAAGAGTTTGGTCTTAGGAGGTTAAATACGAAATCATATGTGAAGTTGTTTGTGTTCATGTTATGTAGGTGGAGCAGCAACAAGAGGCGCAGTGGGAGGAGCGGTGTAGGAAAGAACAGGAGGAAGAGGAAGAACGGGAAGCCCTTCGAATCCAAGAAG